AATCTTTTGATACCCATAAAAATTGATTAGCAGAAATACTCATTTCTTTATTTATCTTTTGTTAAATGTGGATGTTTCTTTATCGTGCAAAGGAATTTAAAGATAATATAAATCTGCCTGCTATTTCATAACCAAAAAACAAATAAGAACAAAAAAAAAAAAACACTGAGAGTTAATTTACTCAAGATCACAGCTAGTTATTAGAAAAGTTAAAATAAGGATGACCCAGGACTTGCTTCTCTGAGCCACCTGTGTTCCAGGTAGCCATTCTCTTCTGTAACAACAATTCCTGAAATTGAGGCATGCCAGTCACATTCCTCACTGCTGAAAATACGGTTCTTATTTTCTGTCACCAAAGAATTACCAAGGGTTACATAGTGTTAAAAATTCTTCAGTTACTCATTGAAATTACCTTGGCTTAAACTGTGAACCTCAAATCTTTAGCTTTTCCCTTGGTGTCTCATGCCTAATAACATGTTTGAATTAGTGATTTCTATTAAAACTTGGTTGATAAAATCTGTTATTGAGCTAGGAAACATCACTTAGCTCACCAAATCCAAGATGTTGTTCACTAGATGACTTTCTATGGTCACTATCTTTTCAGCCTTAACATTTTCAAGAAGAAGTAAACTTAGCCAGTTTGAATATTAAAGTGTAATCTATGTAAACTAGACAAATCAATTTTATTAATTAAATGAGTATTTTCTAATACACTAGTGGAAAAAATGGCATCCAAAACAATCAAAACCAAAACTAAGTAAATTCTAAAAGAAACCAAATGTTTAAAAGCAGGCATTAGGAAGCAGCTGTTCAAGTGTCTGAACTAAAAGATAACAGATCGTAAGCAACAACAGAATCTGATTAGGCAAGGCCACTAGCCTCAACCTTGAGCTCTGTCTGTAATAGTGAACTCACTAGGGACCAGCAGTTAGCATAATGACTATGTCGCTGGACTCCCATGTAGTCGACCTCAGTTTGAGTCCTGAGCCCAGCGGCTTAAATTTACACCAGGTGCATGTGCACACGTGCTCAAGATCCCAAGAGGAGAACGGAGAAGGGATTGTGGTGTGGCCATCCCCCTGGGGGATGATTTCTCACTTTCCATCTCTCTGTCTGTCTCTGTCTTTCTGGTGAGCACACGCGCCCTATAGCAAAAACCTCTCCAAAAAAAAAAAGAGAAAGAAAGAAAAAGAACAGTGAGCTCGCTAGAGGAGTGACTATAGCAGTATAATCATTACAGATCTGACATGGAGATTTTCAAACTACAACCAAATAGACTTACTGGGAATGATGACGATGTTTATGGCACAAACTGGTCACTGCCACCCAGATATCTAAGTCACTTCTATTAAGTTCTCATCAGTTTCCTCTGCTGCAGCCACACTGTCTGGGATCTAGAATGCCAAGGACATTTTCCAAAGCTTTGATCTTGCTGAAGAATAAGAATCTCAATTATCCATCAAGTTGGCTAGAGTTCTTTGAACTTCTGCATTCCAAGAATTGCCATGATAAGCTTCTACGAACAACTTACATATTCAGAGTGTGACAGATATCAAGACTCTACATATAAAAAAGACAGTAACAATAACGTGAATATAATATTGCAGAATTTCAGGCACCCATTTTAGAAGACAGCCATGAAACTCCAACCAAGGTATCTTTGGGTATAATGACTAAACTGAATGGAAGAAATGTCTGGAATAATGCCAGAACTGTCCGTGTTAGCCCGTGTGCATGCTCCCCTAAATCCACCAAGATACAGGCTGCTGTTTTGAAACCTTTCTTAGGGAGGAAGGGGAAACAGGATAGTTACTCAGAGTCAAAAGATGACCTTCTAGCACGATATGCTACAGGGAAGAGAAGCTCCAAACACAAGACTGAAATAGGCTTTGAGAATGCCAGAAAGAAAAGAACAGAGGGTATTTATATTTTCAGACATGACTTGATCACGGACATTTGTGGTTCTGCAGAAAAAATTACTGCAGCAGCTATAGGGCT